TCCCCCTCTTCCCCCTCATCATTTTGCACTAATCTTGTTTGCAGGGTCAGTCTGTAATTGGGCCCCCTGCAGTCTTGACCTTGTATTTTTCTTGCAAGTACAAAAGTTAAATATTTTTTTGGATATATTTAACCTTTTGGTCCTTTCTTTGGTTACTTGAAGCTCCTGAAGCTGTTGTAAGGGCAACAGTATTTCCAGGTTTCAGATTGTAATTGCCATATGTACCCAAATCCAAGATGACTTTTTTTTTTTTTTAAATTTTAAGTTGCCTGCCCAGTAACTAAATTCTATACATGAAAAATTTATAACCACTTACATTTATTTGGTGGGGTGTTGTCTTAAATTTTCCCTGCCCCTCCACCTCCCCTGTGGAGGGGAGGGAGGGGGAAGGACTCTTCTCATGGCTCCGGCTCCAGACCTGCTCTGGCTTGGGGTATGGAGCATGTGGACATACCATCTCCTGCCCACCCATACAATAGTAGCGGTGGCTCTAACCCTGGCTCCAGGTCTGGGGCCAGAGCTATTGCCATTTGTGCCCTGTCTTGAGTGGGTCTGGAGCCAGAGCTCCTGGGGGGTGGGCAAAGGCAGCAGCTTCAGTTCAGACTGTCCCCCAAACTCACACCACAGTTTATTGGTGCTGCAGCAGCTGACTGCCTCACAGCTTGTACTGAATCCAAGACGAGGAGCTTTTTCCTTTAACTTGAAACCTCAGGTTGTGGAAAATTTTAACTTGGAGTGAGATTCTGATAACTTTTACTCTCCTGTGTTCCATTTCTTAGTGGGACTACTTTCTAAAGTGGATGAGCCTTGCAGAAAAGGGCACAGATGAGTACCAGTGCAGCACACTTCTGTTCCGGGTAGGGGAAGCAAGGACATGACTAAGTCCCATAGGGAGTCCTGAATTTAAAAACAAAACAAAAAAAAAACTGACTTGGATTCTCTGTCTTGCCAGCCTCTCTCCAGCACCTAAGGGTTTTGAATAATTTGTACAAATTGTTTAGCTATTAATGAAAAGCAGGGACAAATTTCTATTTAGGCATCCTATTTCAGAACTATTTTCCAGTTCTCACATTAGAAGCTACTGTTCATGCATTCAGCCTTTTCTGCTATAAGATTTTCCTTGCTCCTTCAGACTTTTAAGTTCTCTTAAGTAGTATAATATCAAGAAACAACTGACACCTAAATCCAGTTTCTGTTTTTAGAGCTCTCCTATCAATGTATTGATAAGAACTGATCTCTTGTGTGGCTTGGGCTGACCACCTGAAGTGGGAAGGCCTATAAGTAATCTCTGGCTAAAATGTTACATCAGATACTTTGAGGTCACACAGGAAAAAGAGCACAAGGTGTTCTGTAAAGTATATTTGACTACTTTGGTATGATTATAAGGATGAAACTACATGGTAACTAGTCTGTCTTCTATTCCTACATTTTTATACAAATGGAATAAAGTTGTTATGGAGGAGTTAAGCTGAGTATTGACTAGCTTCCAGACAGACCGTGGAATACTTTTCTAAGGAAAGTTTTGGAAGCTTGGGACATCTAAAAATAGGACAAGCTGTTGGAAAATGTTGCTGTAATTCCTTCTTGGTGGAGATATGAATGTGTCCAAACTGAACTCCTCACATCAGCTTACTGTTCTGGCAAGCTCACTGTTGCTTACCTAGTTTTTTCTTTTTTTTTTTCCCCTGACAGAGATTCTGTTAAATTAAATGTAATTGGAACACAACAGCTCATCCACCTGGCTCAGCAAATGAAGAAGCTAGAAGTATTCATGCATTTTTCAACTGCATATGCATATTGCAATCAAAAGCATATTGAAGAAATCGTCTATCCACCTCCAGTTGACCCCAAGAAACTGATAGATTCTTTAGAGTATGTAACTTTTTTTTTTTCTGGTATTTCACTAATCCACACCCACATTCTATACTTGCAAAGACAATACATGCTCTGTTTCTTCTTTAGACTATTTGCTAATCTTTGCTACACAACTTTGTCATCTTATTCCCTCCTATTTAAACAGTGGTGAAACTGTATAGAAAAATGTGACAGTTAGTCAACCTAATTCTACTTCTGACTAATGGTGGTGTTTCTGGACCTATAATACTAAAGGTCTTCCTAATCTTTTGGTAACTCTTTGAACTACCCCTCATTTTTAAGAACAGTCTGTACCCTGCGCACTATTCTGTGCTGCTTTCTTGATTTAAAAATTTAACTGAATGGTTATTTGCAGGACGGGACAATAAGTAGCTGATATTTTGGCTGTTGAATGAGAGCACATTTGCTAGTATGAAGTGACATTAATAAGTAAATCATTTGGTAAAGAGTTGAGGTAAGAATCATCTTGTTGGCTGTTTTACATTTAAAGAAAAGTGTTAGTCTCCTGTCTTTGACAAAGATGCATTAAACTCATTGTAACTAAAGACATGGAAGCAAAATACCCTCAAACATGGTAAGATGCAGAGAAGCCCTATGATGCAGTAGTCTTGTACTAGCTTATTTTACAAATGTATTAAATTGATTTAATTTACTCAAATTTGTTTTCTTAGTGGTTGCATAGGAAAGAGGGTTTTATTTATTTATTTATTTATTTATTTATTTATTTTTAGAATGACTTGAGACCATGGAAACTTAGACTTCATCTATACTTTTTAAAGTTGTCCCTACCCCTGTCTGGCTGTTCTTATTTAAAAGAAAATAAGAGAGAGAACTTGGAAAATTTTAACTTGGACTTAACAACTGAGTCCAACTGTAAGTCCGTGTTTTTAAAAAAAAAAAAAACAAAAACAACAACAAAAAAAAACTTTTTGCTGCCTGCTAGTCTTGGAATGCTCAAAATTTTGTGGATTTTGGCTGCAGCAAGACTAGTTGCAGATTTTGGTGCAGGGAATCTTACTCTTTGCATTGGAACCCTTGGGTGTCAGTAACTTAATTCCATTGGTCTCTGTCTGTCTGGTTCCCTTGAAACATCCAGAGCTGACCAGCTTTAGATTCCTCTCCTGATTTGTGAAAATAATATGCTTCCTGCCCAACTGCTGTCTCTCTTTGCTGATTTTAAAATTGAATTTACCCTTCATTTTATTTCCAATCTGATCTAAAATGCTGTGGGATTAGGGAGAATAAGGAAGACTTGCAAGAGGCTTTGCTTTTCCTGATGGATATTAACAGTACAGGAGCTGAAATTGGCCAGCACCTTTTTAAGATGCTCGTGGGCTCATTTGGTCAACAATTCCCAAAGATAACAGCGAATTGGTGGGAAGCTTTGTAGGTGGAGTTGGCATGCCAATCGAAATATGAAGTTATCAGCAGGGATCCTGGTTTTCCCTGATGATGATTAAAAAAAAAAAACCCAAAAAAAACCAACCCCCCCCCCAAATTTTTGGGTTAAAAAGTAACCCAAAATCCACCCCCCCAATGTTGCTTTTTCTAACCCCAAAATTGAGGATCTTTTTTTTTTTAAATTGGAGAAAACCAGGATCCCTGGTTATCAGACTACCTTCAAGTAAGGGAACAATGGGTTTGATACCTTCATAAAATACCTTTTGTAAAAGCTTCATAAAAGAAACAGACTGACCAGTCTTTTAAGGATAGTAATCAAAGGCACATCATACAGGTGAAATAACTTAAAGTTTTCATGAAGTTATTCAATTGCTAAAATTATTAAAAAAATTAGAGGAAATGAGTCTCTCCATGCATTTTCACTGTTTTCCCTAGGCAACAAGTTATAAAACCTTCAAGTTGACAATATAATTTTAGACACTTGGATACTGCAACTGCCATTAAAACTAGGAAATGTTTTTCTTGGGGGTGGATTTAAAGTGTCATCTGTTGCTTTCCTGAAGTATTCCCACAAGGGGAACAATATGTGAAAACAAGACTGATCCATATACATGGCATAACATAACTGAAAGATTACAAAAAGTTTCTAGTTTGTAGAAGGGGTGTCTACAATAATTCAATTTAAAAAAAAAAAAAAAAGCTATCAGTATTGTCTTTTTTTTTTTTAAGGTGATCCTACTCTGCTCTCATTCCTGGCTTAATTACCAAAACCTTACAGTGAGATGTTTGGGGAGGTGTATGGTTAACCTGCATAAACAATTTCTAAAAGACTGTCACTATTGCTTCTATAAGCAACTATTGCAAATACTATAATGTAGATTGTATTTTAACAGAAGGGCATCTGCTATTTTGCTTTAACTTTGAAGGAACAGGAAACAGTTTCAATTAACTAGGAATTCCCATATCTGAAGGTATTAATGAACATTATAGTTAAGTGGGCTAGTCCATATCTTGTTTTAAACATTAAAGGTCATGGGATCAGAGCTCAGATATTCATGAGGTTAAATGAAGAAATAAGACTCTAGCTTCTGTTGTCAACTTGATCCAGGCTTCTAATTACCTGGACAACAAAAGTTTAGGAACTTGCTGAGGAAAGCTGTTTGCATACAGTGTTAGGACTTCCAGCTGACTTTAGATTGCCCTACATTATTAACCGTCTCTCTGGTAGCTTAATCATGAAGATAGAAATTTTATCCTCATTTGACCCCAGAAAAGAAACCTAAACTAAAACTTACAGATGCCTATTTTTTTTATGCAGGGAAACTGGTGCTAATAGTTGATCCTAATTTCAGTTATTGGGTATCAGTTCTGTAGGAATCTTCATACAGAAGATCTAATACTACATGGTGTAGGGTGGTGGGGAGAAGGAGATGCATTTTATTTTATTTTTTTAAAAACAAGAGGGCAGTCTATTCTGTTTGTAGGAAGAAAGTCATAGTTAAAACAAAGCTTACTTCCCCCTCCTCTTTCCCCTGACTGGGTGTAATGATGTTGCAAAACCTGTATAACACCATTTTTGTTGTTGTTTTTTTTTTATAAGCCCAGTCACAAAAGTAATATTCAGTTCCTGCTATAAACTACTCCTTTGCTATTTTGTGCCTGCTTCAGTTATATCATGGGGTGGGGGGGTATGATCACTAAAGAATTGAAGACCTACCAATTCAGAATAGTACTGCCAAGTAGCAGCATGTTCCTGCTTAGCCTATTTCTTGATGTGGGGATAGGAGAGAAAATGGAAGAATGCTGAGCAAGTAAAACCTGCCATTCTGGTTTCATACATACCCCTAGAGCTGAACATAACTGGTAGGCTTAATGATAGCATTTCCCTTTCCTTCCACCCCAGGCCTTATTCACCCTTTTCAACTGTTCATGCTGCTGCATAATTTTATTTTACAGTCCAAGCATAATGCTTTTCTGTGGGGTTTCCAAAGTGTCACTTCCTAGTTTACAACACAAATGACTCTTAATTGAAAGGTTATTATGCAGCAGTGGTAAATGAATTCAGTGTAACAGGTAAGTGGAGGAGCTGGACCACGTGCAGAGTAGTCTCCATGTTTTGATTCTGTAGTGAATAAACAACCCTTCTGAGTGTGTGAAAATACTACAGAATGCATTACTCTACAATGCACTGCAATACTGCTCCTCCCTTCCTGCCCCTCCCCCAGTAGCAAAGGGGAACTTGGGACAACATGGGGAAGCCAAGTTACAAGAACTCTGTATCTTAAATCTTCATTCAGAAGTCCCTTGTAAAACATTCCTTGATGCTGCATTTACTTACCTTCAAAGAATTAACAAGCGAGTGTCATGCTAGTGGCAATGACTTAGTGTTAAGTGCTTGGGTGTGCACAAGTAAAGGATGTTCTGCAAGTGCATCATCAAAATGAATGGGTTCTTATGGGGTTGCTGTTTTACATTGCAGATTTATTCTAAGTAGAAGAAGAATTCTACTTATTGGATCCTTTGGAAGATATAATGCTGCTGCTATGTCTGTAGCTGTAAAAGGAAGCTGTTCCTTAGACTGGTATTCTGATTTTTAGAGAAAAATACCTCCCCACTTTTGTCTAGGAAATAAAGCAACTTGGCATCCTCTGACAATTTAGGTACTGTGATATGTAAATAGAAAACTCTTCTTTAGGAAAGTGAATGGAAATTGCTTTTCTGATTTCTGAGAAATCTTAATGTTAATATGCATAGTACAATATAAAAGGCAATGCATCTGACTTTTTCTCCTTAGATGTAGTATGTGTGCCACACAGTATTTTTGGAAACCTACCAGGACCAGAAATAGTCCAGTCACTTCATTTTAAATGCCATGTTCCTAGTTTTGTACTTAATGTCTTGACAAGAAATATCTCTTGATCAAGTAATTGGCATGAGTATCGCATTCTTTTGTGAGGTGGTTTCTTTTGTTACCCTTCTTGAATAATATCTGGAATGATCTCAGACTTTATTTGTTCTGCATAGTTCAGTACAATAATGTACATGTACTTAGGTTTGTCCAAATCGGGCTAGAGAATAACATTCTTTCTGTATTTGGCAAATAGATTAAGATGTTTTGTTAGTGTAAACATCTATGGGAGACTTATGGGAACTAATAAATTAGATTGTGGGTTTTTTGATGGGTGTCTTTTTGTTTGTTTTACAGTTTCGTATCCATAAATCAGTTTTTTGCCTATTGTTTTAGCATTGCTGGTAGTATAGGTTTCTGATTGTGGCAGACCTGCTGTCACATGAAGGTTATCTGGAGGACTGCCTGCAGAACCCCTCAAATACCAAACTAGTGCAGAGGATCTCCAGCAAAGGGGAAAAAGCACTGGAGGTCAAGAATAGGAGCAAAATAAGATCACCGAGTGGTAATGCAACCCCCCCTATGCTCGTGCTCTTTCCAGTTTTGCTTTCATGACTAGGTATAGTAGTGTGTAGCTGTGGTAGAACATTTTTGAAGTTACACCACCACAAATTCTTACCTTGGATACACTTTTTAGCATAACCCAAACAATGTATCTTAAAGCAAAATTCATACAGTTGATTTTTCTCTTCAATTTTGTACAAGTGCAGTTAATATACATTGGTTTACTACCAGTCCCAGGCAGAAGTTACATTTATGCCACGATTAACACATTAATTGTACTATAAATAGCAACATGGATCATATTCAGCCAATTTGTAGGTTTGTCATTTTATGGTGCCACATTATATGTGGAACATCTTTTAAATTGGAATGTTATATGCTTCTCATTCTGATTCTTGGTGTTGGGAGAAGAGCAGCTGGGTAGGAGATCCTGGGCTATGCTCTTCCCCATACTAACAATCCTTGTTGACAGTGTAGCTGGGGCTGCCCAAGCGCTGCATGATAGGAATCTGAGCTTCCCCCTCTGCAGGTTCAAAGCTGTGTGCCAATAGCCCCAGATGGGAGACTACCAATGAGTCACCACTGCAAGTACCAGTTGAGGGGAGTCAGTTGGCTTGTCCTGCCCAGCAAGTTCAAAGCTGTGGACCCAGCAGCTCTGGATTGCAATCCATGTGCACTGGCATTTTGAAAGAAAGCTATTGGGATTGGATCCCTGATACTCAAAACTGCATTTCCTGCCACACACATGTAGAATGGCAAGATGCATTGGTTTTGCAATTGGGATCAGACTTCATTGTGCCATTAAACTTGAAATCTTCAAAGTAATTGAAATACATTGTATATGTATAGTGTTTGATACTGTAATTATATAACTTTTTAAAAAAGCCCTTAATGCTACCTCTTGTTTCTAGACTTAGGAGTATTATAGCTGTTTACAGCTGTTAGGTTTCTGAAACAGACATCAGTCTTCTTTCATTTCACTTCCTCTGCCTACCCTCTACCCATCCCTTCAGTTTTGGACAGTTATAACAGTTCTAATCTAGAAACCAATGTAATATTAAGGACTAAATTCTGATCCTACTGAATGCAGTTGTTCTTGTGTGTGGTGTTTTTTATGGCATCAGTGTTTGGTCCTAGCATAAAAGAAATCTTTTCTTTTCTTTTAAGTCAAATCTTTGGAAATTGAATTGGTTATGGAGCTGAGTATGAGGTAAATTTTATTTGCAGAAGTCTACTATTGTGCAAGCTACATGTAGGTGAATGTTTTCAACTTTGATGTGCATACTGGCCTCTGTGGCCTCCCTTGGCCTCCTTTTTGTGAGGTGTAGTGTACTTCACTGGGAGCTGTGGCTAGCGTTGCAGGGGAAAAAGGTGTTAGAGTTCTTAAAATTAATTCACTTCCTGTTAGAACATATGAGTGATTACAAAGCTTTGAAATGCTTCAAAGCTTCATAAGCTAACTTGAAATACTACAGCAGAATCCATTGCTTTACTTTATGCTATATCTATAAGCTTACAAATCTTTTAGCAGGAAACGTAAAACTGAAATTTTAACGCTATTGTTGGTGGCTTGAAAGACATTTGACTTGATCATAAATGCTTCCTCTCCTCCCCCCACAACTTTGTTTCTAATTTGTTTGCTTTCCTTCAGACATAAACGCACCTCTTCTAGTGAAGCGTGCAATAATTAAATCCTTTTTTGTCGTCTTTGTTTGTTTGTTTGTTTTTGTTTTAGGTGGATGGATGATGGTCTAGTAAATGATATTACCCCAAAACTGATAGGCAGCAGGCCTAATACTTACACATATACAAAAGCCTTAGCAGAATATGTGATGCAGCAAGAAGGTTCAAAACTGAACATAGCCATCATAAGGCCATCCATTGTTGGTGCCAGCTGGAAGGAGCCTTTTCCTGTAAGTCACTTTGTCTCCCACTGAATAACTTCATCTGTTTCTTAACCTGTAAAGTGAATGCATCCTGGTTCATTGCAAGGACTTTAGGTCAGAAGTCTAAACTGCAGTTTAATCACTTTTGAATACCAACCTATATTATCAAACCACTTTTTTTTATTTAGTTTCTGGTTTTTGTGTACTTGAAAGTTTACTTTTTTTTTTTTTTAAATGAACTTTAAAGATTAAATTACTTCTAACCTTGGGGCAGTATGGGCCTAACAAATGCACATACACATTTGGGGGGGGCAGGGGTTATCTGCTTCCTGCCCCAGTTTATTTTCTCTTCCCTTTCAAGCTGCTCTACCTTGTGCTAGTTGCCAGTATCTTTAAGTGGTCATAATGAAAAATGGAGGCTGCCTACCAACATTCCTTCCCCGCCCCCCCCGCGCAAAAAAAACCAAACAAACAAAAAAACCCCTCCAAAAACTTGCAGTATTGTATCCTTAGTAAAGAGGGGGAAGGAGTTCCTACGCCTGGTTATGTATTATTTGAAGCATCCTGCCAACATTGTATGGTCCTCCTGTGAATGACATTAAGGCAGCTTTCATAACAGAAATGAATCTTCCAAGATTTTAGTTCCCTAAATTCAGTGTTTGCAAATCCACGTGTTAAATGTTAAAGGAGAAAGCAAGAATCCTCCTCATGAAAACCATCAAAATCTAGTAAGTGACCACAGAACTGCTTGATGGCTATTTTAGGATGATTGCTTTGGTGGTTCAAGTTTAAAAAACAAAACAAAAAAACCCCCATTTTTTTTTTTTTAACAGCTGTTAGTAAGAAACTTCCTCTTACACTGTAAATATCCTTTATAAAGTTCTTAGCAAACTAATACAACAACAGAAAATCAGTTTGAGTAAGTAATGAAATTGCAGCAGCCTCTCTTCTGAGGCTATTAGTTAACAGCCAAGTAAGAAACTTTGTTACTAGTGTTCCAGTAAGGAAGACTCTTTTTTTTTTTTTTTTTTTTTTAAGGCATTTTCTGAAGTTAATGTGTGAGAAGCCGAATATGAGAAGTAATATGCTATAAGTTTTGTTCTTATATTTTATGCATAAATAGAAGTAGTTAGCTGTGCTAGTCTGAAAACAGGGCAGGGTGGTCCATGAACCATTTAATTTTTCAGGTGCCACCTTTTCTCTACCTTCTGCCTTTTACCTTTTACAGCTTTAAGAAGCTCGTACTTGGTCGGTTTGTTTCAGAAATATTTTTATAAACAGTTGAACTCTGTACACTTTGACTGAATCTTTTTTCTTTTTCACAATAGGGGTGGATCGACAACTTTAACGGACCTAGTGGTATTTTTATTGCTGTAAGTAAATATTTTTAGTACCGTTATGGATATTGCTTTTGTCTTTGAAAGCCAACAAAGTCTGGAATGTTTTATTGGTGGGCCTTCTGTTTTGTTCTTTAAGGCAGGAAAAGGAATTCTTCGAACAATGAGAGCTTCCAACAGTGCAGTGGCAGATCTTGTTCCAGTAGATGTAGTTGTCAATACAACACTGGCTGCAGCCTGGTATTCTGGCATAAATAGGTATAACAGGTGACAGTGCAAACTAATTCATTTGGCATGTGGTGGTGTGATCTGTTGTTGTATCTAACCTCTTTTTTTAATTGCTAATCTGTGTCTTGCTATTCCCATAATATAAAAGAATTTAAGATTTACCATACTAACTTTCAAGCTTGTAATTTATAATAGCAAGCATCTGATACTGAAGAGGAAGATATCACCTCTCAGTAGTGCTTTTCATGTATACCACAGCACCATTGGCTAAACAGTAGAAATGCCTTCTTGCTTCCAGTGTTTTGTTTGTTTGTTTGTTTGTTAAAACACTTCTTATACCTACAACCGGAGTATTCCTTCTGAGAGGAAAGAATCAGTACATTTTTCTGTTAAAGAAAAATGCTGGGAACGTGTAGGCCAGTGCTGTGGCATCATGAGATCCATTAGAAGGGTGCCACGAGGTGTGAGATAAGCACAGGCTCAGGCTTGTCCCTGCCTGGCCAATCTTCCACCCTCGATGCTAAGCCCCTCTGCAAGAAATTAAGCATTGAAGTTGGATGCCATTCACTTTACAAACCTTGAGTCCATTGAGGGGTACCTGGGGTCTAAAAAGGTTGTGAACTACTGATGTAGGTGCACACAGTTCTAATAAATGGGTTATCCTCCACTGTCCCCAGCTTCATAATTGGAGAGGGTAAGAGGGATTTGGATAAATGTGGGCTTTTTAACAATTACCTAAAATTCTATTTAGCTTTTAATTTGCTCAATTTCTTTTTAATCTTTTTCAGACCAAGAAACGTCCTGGTGTACAACTGTACAACAGGTGGAACCAATCCTTTCCATTGGGGTGAAGTTGGTATGTTGCCTCTTTTTTTTTTTTTTCTGTATGTCCTCCAACTCTTTAATAGAAGGCAAATTTCTGAGGCTGTAGCAACTAATCGATAGCCAGAAGGCCCTTCTAAGTGCTTTTAGTAGAAATTTGCTGTAACTTTGTATTGAGACCAGTATTTGTAAATTAATATTTTTTTTTTTTTTAAATCCAATAAATTGGATATACAGCAGCCATACCTCTCATCTTTGCAATGTGGTACACCATTTTTTCTTTCTCTGTTCAGTTTTTCTTCCTATATTCTGTTTTGCCACTTTCTGCCCTCACATAGTATGAGTTTTGCTCTTCTCCCAACTGCTACCACAACCTAATCTGCCAGCTACAGGTTGGTAGAATGGAGAGTAAGTCACTGAGCAGAGGGAATATCAGAAACCTGGTAATACTAGAGCAGTATTTCCAAATTACTGAGTTTTTAGTGGTAACCTTGTTAGAAGCATCTAGGAGATATAGCCCAAAAGAGACTTTTTGTGCATGTAGCACACTTGAGAGGTATGATAGCAGCCTTTTACTTCATAGAGTTGCATCAGATGAATAAAAATGAATGTTGTCCAGCACTGGTTTCCCTTAAATAGTTACATAATATAAAATGTGTGCAAGAAAAATCATCTTCCAAGAATGTGGCCAGCTACTTTCAACTTCTTAATATAATTCTAAATTCAGAAGACTGGCTCTTAATAATTATTGCGCATGTACCATAAATTACTCTTAAAATTTAATGTTTTCATTTTCAGTGAGATTATTTAACACTTAAGCAGCTGTCAACTTTTAGGGAATATTCAGAGGAGTGTCTTTTTATTAGATTTGGATATTTCATTTTATGAGCCTGGCCTATGTTTAGATTAAAAGCGAACAATCTTCTTGTTACTAAGACTTTCCTAGCTTTACTCAGTTTCTTGCATTGCATTGCAGCTTTACTGCAGTTTCTTTTAACTGCAGACAAACTGATTGGAAAAGTACTGTATTTTTGGTTTTTAATTAAATCCCAGTGTAGTTAATGGTTAGAATAGTGTTGTTTTTTGTTTTTTGTTTTTTTTTTGTGTTTTTTTCCTCCCAGAAACTAGTCTGAAAAATACAGGAAGTGACTAGAATGGTAAGATAGATTTGTGTGTAACTATTTAATGGTACCAACCTGCACTTTTTTTTCTTTCACCTAAAAATCCCATTTACCTCTGAATATTTTTGGTTGTGCAAGAAATGTGTAATAGTGGCTAAGTAGCTTTTAAAAATGTTTCTAGAGGTAGTGAATAATTTGTCATCTGAATTGCAGATCAGATCCTGAGAAATATCTATGATTTAAAAAAAAAAGTTTGCAAAAAAACATAGGATATTTGCTACTTTGAAAAAACAATCAAAGGGGTTTGTTAGAAGACTTTCTTAAATGAGAGGAACAGAAAGAGAGAAGCTATAGTGAAGTACAAAACTAAAGTCAAAATTATGAAGTCAGTCTTGATGCATTTAATTGCTGTCAGACTGTCACTTTAAAAGTTCAACAGTTGTAACTTTTCTGTTGTAGGTGATTTAGAAACATCTGGGAGGTCTTTTATTTTGAGTAAAATTCGGGAGTAAATATTGTACATAATAACTTTGAAAACCACTTAAATTTTACATGGTTATTATCAAAGCTGTTACGCAACTTTTTTTTCTCAGAATACCATGTAATTTCTACTTTCAAGAGGAATCCTCTCGAACAGGCCTTCAGACGGCCCAATGTAAATCTAACCTCCAATCACCTCTTATATCATTACTGGATTGCTGTAAGCCATAAGGCCCCAGCATTCCTGTATGATATCTACCTCAGGATTACTGGAAGAAGCCCAAGGTAATGGTGACTAGCTCTGTCTTGTCTGTTCCTCCAACTTTTTTTTTTTTTTTTTGTCTTAAACTCACCATGCTTACAAAAGTGCATATTGAATGTTGAATTTTTCAGATTATGCTTACACTTGTGGTTGAATCCTCTTTCTGAAAGAGAAGAAATACTTGCATTCAGGCTTTTTCCACTAACAAGGATGACTATTTTTGGATAACTTTCGTTCAGAGTATTAATTGATGTCAGGACAAATTTTAAAATTCAAGACCTAAGTACAAGCGCTTTCTTGAATAATAGAAATTCAAAATATGTTTGATCCTTATTTTTCCTACAGAACACTATCTAAATTTGAGTTTCAAGATGAATCCTTTAGAACAAACAGTAAGGCATCCCCATTTCAAAGTATACTCCAACTCCCTTTTGCTTCAGTTCTGGAGAACAGTTGGCCATATACTGCCTGCATTATTGAGTGATGTTGTTCTCAGGTTGACAGGTCAGAAGCCATGGTAAGAAGGACCATTTTGCTGCTAAGGTGGTGGAAGATTGTGGATTAAGGCAATGGCATGAGCTTTCTCTTAGATTTGCAGACTACAAGCAATAACAATCAAGTGGCTGGGTGTTTCAGAGGAGTTAACGTTTGGCTGGGGAAAAGTTGATTCTTGATCTGTGCTTCAGGCCAGTAATCCTTGTCTTTCTCTATGCTCTATGAGATGTCCAGCTCCAAGATTGTTGTTATTATAAACTGAAAATGAATGGCAGGGGAAATGGGGGGGTTTTCTTTCTTTCTTTTTTTTTAATTAAATGATGAAATTTTATTTGGTACGTACAGGGCATTTTCAGAATTTTTTTTATCTAGCCACTCCATTCAGTTTATAATAGACAAGTTCTTGTCTAGCTAACACTTTTTTTTTCTTCTTCTTGAAGTGGGAAAATGATATGGTTTTAACTAAACAAACATAGCTATATCACAGTTAAGTAGTAATATGATCTTGTTTTGCTCCCCCCACTACTTTAAATGTTTTAAATAGTGTAATCCTTGATGTTTCTCTGTGTTTTTGACACAGTGTTCAATAACATCTTGAAAACCTACTTCGCTTCCACGTTTAGAAACTTGATATAACACGTATAGTAAATAACCACTAGTTTTTGGGTTTTTTTTGTTGTTGTCCCAGACTTTAGAGCAAACATATGGGAGGTTTTTGTTTTGTGTGTGTGTGTTTGTTTAAAAAAAAAAAAAAAAAAAAAAAAAAAAAGATTCATTGTCGGCATGCTTTAAAATGATTCCAGTAGGAAAAGGTAATCCTCAAAACATCTCTTGGGTTCCAAACTTGTTTGATCTTGGAGCTGTCCTGGTAAAAATGTAGAAGAACGCACATATGCTCATATTGGCATTCAAACACATCTTCGATTTATAAGCTCTTTTGGGGTAAGAAGCATTCAATTTGTACAGTGCCTAATGCAATTAAGGCCTGCGTGTAGGTACTATTGCAGCATAAACCATGAATGGTGTCTTCCAGTAGCAATAGCTACATACAAGACTGAGTCTATTTAAATGCTAGTCTGTCTTGGTTTGGGGTGGGGGAGGGAGAATGATCAGTAAATGACTGCCACAAGCATGACTGGATTTCAGAAGTCATTGAAATAATTGCTGTTTCCTATTTGACTAGTTCTAGTAGGAGTAATGAGAAATATCTTATTCAGTCCCTATCATTGGATTTCTACCTCAGGTGACCCAGAGAGAAGGGGTACAAAACCCTCTTTGCTAGGTTTTTATTTTATTTGGATATATTGGAAAGGTTAGACCTAGTTCTGTCTTGCTGAAGTACTTATTTTAATCCCAAAGATGTGAATTGGGGTTTTTAAAAGTCTTGTTACAAATGGTGAGGTACTAAATTTACATAAGATCTCCTCTTCCAGTTCATAGAACTTTGGCATAAAGGCTCCTACGGATGACTGCTTTAAAACAGCAGCAATGGGCAAGTAGTGAGTGAGTTTCCCAATGTATGCAAGATTTAGTCTGGAAAGCAGGTGGAGTAGATATCAACAGAGCTGCATGAAACTAAATTGAGAGAAACGGTTGTTTAGGCTGTTTAAAAACTTTTAAGTAACTCAAATGGCTGGGCACACTGTGGAAGACTCTTTTATGAAAGATGAAAAAGATGCCTCTTTAGCACTGGAATCTTTTCAATAACTAATAGTAGATGAGAAGAGATGTTCTTACTTCAACTAACCATTTTACTTGAACTTTACTGAAAACCACTGTCTGTTTGTTAGCAGCGATGACTCAGTTTGCCCATGTAGACAGGATACAATGTGAAGGAAAAAATGGTCCTGGTAAGACAATGGCCTTAGACTTTCAGGTTTTGTTTTTTTTGTTTTTTGTTTTTTAATTTTCTATTCAGAGGAATAGCAATATATAACACTGGGTGTTACATTTTATTAAATGTTATTACAGTTTAATTATACACTGTATGGGCCAGATCTTTAAAGTTACCAAAGGAGCAGAAAGGAACTCATGCAAGGGCAAAGTACATTTGGAAGGCAGCTTAACTAGATCACCTGAAGACTTCTTTGGCTTGAAGTTCACTGTTGTAGTTGGGTGCTACTCTTGGTCCTGTGGCTAGGGGGCATGGCCAAGGAACAGTAACCAAAAGCTTCAGCTACTAGGTAGCAGAATTTCTGTCCTGGGGCCTCAAACTAGATTAAATCGAGTTTGGATTCCTCATGCTTATGCTGTTCTGAGTGCAGAGGCCCTGTTGCTAGAATGGGGCTCTTGATTACCTGCTCTTTCTTATGACCAAAAAAAAGAAAATGTTCAACATATTGAATCATAGTGAGATACTTCTGTAAAACTGCAATATATGGCTACAGCAAAAATCACTGGGCAAAATCAACCGTGAAACTGACGACATCGGCTCCACAGTAATGGCTTATCACTCTTCCATATACCATTTCTTTATTGAATCTTGAAGCCATAACGTGCTGAATGCCACCTTTCCTGCGGGGGTGGGTGGGCCCCCTGGTAACTTCTTTGCTCGTTGCTTTATAATGTGGAAAAAAATGACATCCTATAAATGACAAATCAACTGACTTGTCTTATAAAATAAAATACTGGAGCAAGTGTTCTATTGCCATAGTAAAAGAAAGACCTGAATGGAAGTGGGGGGGACAGACCTGGTTGGAGTTGCTTCTGCAGTAGTGGCACTTGTCTTTCTACACTGAACCATAATAACAGGATCTTTCTGTTTTTGTGGTGTTCTCTTCAAGAATTTTTTTCAGGCACACTCCTATTGCTCTGTTGGTCCTGTTTTAGGGCTTATATCGTTTCAAAGAATTGAGAGAGAGCATGCATTAATCATATCAGCAGTTCAAATATTTACTATTTTAATTCCAGTAGTGTCTTTTTCCCCCCCTCAATTTCTATACCTGAAGGACTTTTAGGAAAAGGGGCACACTATAAAATTATCATGTTTTAGCATGTTATATACAAACTTAAGGAAGGCAAAGGAAAACTTGATGAATACAACCCTCTACTCCAGGTTTTTTTTGTGTTTGACTAATATGTACTGTAGGACTCTAATGTTATCTATAGGAGTTGATTAATAATAGTGTTGTATAAATAGTAATAGTCAGCAGTGCTAATAGCACATTTGTAGCTTTAGCAAGTGTTATGCCTTGAGAGACCTAACCACTTGCATCACTGTATCACAATGCAGCTGTTTACTACTTAAAACTTTGTGCGAGGCGCCATACAAATCTAGCAGTGGAGCTATGGTGTCTTTTGTATAACCATTTACAAATAAACAAACAGTATTTTAGCCCTCTTTATCTGACCTGTTCAAGTACTTTCAAACACTAATCCATTATAACTTTTTTTTTTTTTTTTTTAAACTTGGTGAGAAACTGAATGTGTAACATAGAGCCCTAGTCAGGAATTTGGCAATCTAGCCAAGTGTAGGAAATTGTTACTTAAGATGTGTAACCAGTAATAAATAAGAATATCATTTGTATGATCTTAAATTGCAAACTCTTCAGTGCTTAGTATAAAGTGCTCTTCATGCAGTGCTAAGACTGAATGAGTGAAGATTACACCTACTGAACAAATGTAGGTATGTTTTTTCCTAGTAATAACAATTTTCCCTTTCAAGCATAATGCTCTGAGAACTGTAGAGCATTCTGAAGAATTCAAGCTGGTATATAAATATTATATACTTCCATTCAGATTTACAGTATCTAAAAGCTGATTGGATGCTATTTAAAAAAAAAAGAATATTGTGGTCATTTCAGCTTGTTTTCCTTCTGCTATGGGAAGATATCAGAAGACTATCCAACTAATCATTCAAACAGGGAATAAAATATGATCATCAGTTGGTGGTACAATACAGCTCTGGTAAACGTTGTTGTATAAGTAATTTGAAGAAGACGCTGTTTGCTGAGGTCAAGGGCTAGGTACATCATCCAAAAAGCCTGAAGCTGAATCGATTCAGTCTTTGCAGATTAGTCTAAACTGCGCAAATTAAATTGAAACAGGAGTGAACAGACACTTACCTTTGATTCAGTAACTAGTTAGGTGTCTGCAGTGGCTCAGGCCAGAAGCCAGGGAGCTAGAGCACAGCTCTCTGGCTATTTGTTCTTCTTTCTGCTGCCCCTGGTTTTTTTTTTTTTAAACGGGATTTGCAGTCCAGAATCACAGTAGCAAGACTCTCTACAGGATTGGTCATCATTTCTTCTTCCTGCTTCCAGGTGCCTTTGGGACTTGTAGTCCAGTTGCATCCAGCAGTAAGTTTCGAGCAGGGGAAGGGGTGTTTAACCCCTTTCCCTGGTCCCAGACCCCAGTTAGGGTTTGCTTGGAGGGGGCAGTCCCCCCTGTACCCTGGGCTGTATCCCTAGCTAGGCTTGCCCTCCAGCCCCCTTGTCAGTCATCCCTCACTGCTCCAGCTAGGGAGCAGAGAGCACAGCAAAGCCCAGGGCTGGAAAGTATGATGGGGGACTGATTTAACTTGAACCAGGAAGGGGTCTGGGACAGAAGTTTTATAGATTGGTTTGACCCAGATCAGTTCAGTCTGATACTACATTCAGTCAGGTTTATCTCAAACCACTTTCAGCCATTTTGAAACTGGTTTATGTGCACTGATCTTAAGTTCTGTTACAAGTTTAAACCAGTTTCTGATCACTTAAGCCCATTTGTGTGTAACTTCTGTCTCTAGCCTAGGAGGCTATGACTGCCACTGACTATTTTAGCCTGTATGCAAGCGGATAAATGGCAGAATAAGGTTTCACACTTGCTTCTCCTTTTTGCCCCTCCAGAACTAGAATCCATAGCATATTAAAGTTTACAAGTAACATTACAGTAATATTCCAGGTATTTGAATTGCGCTGTGTGCTTCGCAAAGACCCTACCAGTGTCTTGCTGTAATGCAATAGCAAGAAGCTTTGTAAACTAAGAATTTAGCAGCAAAGCAGTCTGTGGATTTAAAGTTTTGCTTGAGGTCCCTTCTGTTCCTGCTGTTTCTTGGAGTTATAGAAGTTTCGTGTTATTACAAATGTTTAACTTTATTTGTACTCCCTTGTTCCATCATTCCATGCTTACATGCAAAACTGAAGTTTTCATTACCTTTCTCATGCAATAAGAGGAATAATAAAAGTTTTATTCCAAAGCTTGCACATCCACAGAACAGTGGCTTACTGGAGAACCTGGCCTTTATTTGAAAGCAGAATTATTCTTAGTTTGGCTGCATTTCAGAAAGGTGTTTTGCACATAGTGCTTAAAGGCAAACAAATAACTTGGCTTGAGTGAAACTCAGACACCTTTGTAATTATCTTATTCCATATGTCTAAATTTTCTTAACAAACTTTTTTGGTTTAAAACCCTTGTTCATGTTCAATGTGCGTCTCATGGGCTAATAGCATTGGCTATATATATCTACATAACTTCAGTTAGAATTCTGCATGTTCTCCAATTATGCCTCTGAAAATGACTGACATTTAGATTTTACAGTGAAGAAAAATATTTTGAAAACCTCTGACTCTTTTATGGTTACTAGCAGAAAGTGTGCTACAGTAGTAACAAATTTTAGATGGCTGACTTTATTTGTTTGTGGTGATGTTTTACTACTTGCAAGGATACTTATTAAGCATATGTTATTATATTATTATATGTTATGATATTAAGCAATCTAAAATATATACTCCCTTAAAAAAAAAAAAACCCCAAAAAACAGAACCCCAAAACTTCAGGATCAGGTCTATAAATAGTTAAACTCCTGTCCTTCTGTTAGTTGTCTGAATTTCAACTTCCAGATAGGATAACCACTGAAGCTGTAGTGGAACATATACAAGTCTTGCTTGTTGGGGCTGGATGAATGCCCCCTTAGTGACACTGTCTGCTGACATCTTGGTGGGTAGTAAGGAGGGTGTCTTCTACTTTGGTTCATGCAGCAAAGATAAGGAACCTAGTCATTTTCTGTTTAGTAGGTCTTAGCCCCTTAGTTTAGCCTAGTTCTGGCTTTATCTGGCCCCACCCCCCCCCCCCCCAAAAAAAAAAAAAATAAAAAAAAATACAGTATTCCATTTGCAGCCTTCAGGGTCACTGGCTAGCACTGAATTGAAGAGGAACATTTAATCGCATTCTGTTTGCTCACTTGTCTATCTGCAACCGAATAGCCATGCATATTATTTAATGTTTTGGAGATGTTTGTACATGTTTAGGCTAGGCTTTTCTGCCTAGAACTCATCTGCTCTGGCAGCTGATATGGAGAGCATACAAATAGGAACTAAAATTTTGAAACATTTTGTACCAGTCCATCAAGCTGCAGTATCATCTTTTAAAACGGTGTTCAGCACCAAAGCTCTCTATTTTTAAATGGGCAAGGCCTGAGCCCCAGCCTCCAAGTCAGTACCACCTTCAGTGCTGATTATTAAAGAAAATAGAACTCTTACACAGATATTACATAGGCTTTTCTGGTCAGTTTTTTAACCATGCCTTTACAATCTCACAAATGGCTTCCAGATCACATCAGTATCTCCTATAGTTGCTTTTGGTTCACCATGATGAAGTAGTAGTAACTTATTGGTCACTGCCTCTGCCTCAGGGTGAAATATTTTGGTGCCATTCACATACCAGGGCTATATAAAATTAAGAACTTGAGTGCTTCTAGGAAAGCTTGCCAACACTAGGCCAGGATAGTGTTCTAAGCTCTCATGGCTCAAACAGAGCCTGTGCTGTGATTCATTTTGTATGCCTTTGGCACTGCTGAAGCTGGAATATTGAATCTTTGGTTTGCTGCTATTGGCCTTAGACTTCATCTTTGTGCACAACCTTTCCCAGTGTTTCCCAACCTCTTTTTGCCCGACAGCACACTTGCCAAATAAAAAAGCACCGCAGCACAATGGGGCTTTAGGGGGTGGGGGGCGCACAGCCAGCTGGACACTGACTGGGAGGGGTGACATGGCCAGCTGAACGACATTTTGGGCTGGAGCCACAGCCCCTGCCTGGCTAGAGCCACTCCCCATCTGTCTGTCCACAGCAGCAAGCGGGCTGGGGGCGTGGCTCGAGCCCAAAATGCCGCGGCACACCTGGACATGTCTGACGGCACACCAGTGTGTTGCGGCATGCCAGTTTGGAATTGCTGATCCATCCCCCACTGTCAACTGGGAAGCGGGCAGGACAGGAACTCCCTTTGCCTTGGTTCACCTTTGTCTATCTAAAGAGATTTTAGAGCCATCAAATACTTCTTTTCAGAGTACTGCTCAATTTTTGGATTTCAGACGATTCATGGCCCTGACCCCACTGACTCTGCTTCTTGCACCAAAACTTCCACTTTTTTTCCCACTGGTTGTAGTACTGCGTAATCAACAGCTCTCTCAAACATCAGCCCTGTTGTTTTATCTATGAGTTAAATTACTACTAGTCCCGCAATTGCAACTTCCAGATTTGGATGAGAGATCTGAGTGGACTCGGTTCTGTGAGTAGGACATCTGTGTTGATCTTTTGAGGGCTTCCCCACCAGATGAACTCCACTAGTTTTAAGAAAAACTAACCAAGATGGTATGCAGAGTAATTGCACACTGCTAAGGCTCTTGGAACCTATTTTTTTAAAGCTTATCACATTTTCCCTTGCTAGTAGTTTTTAGCAGGGGTAGCCAGATGCATTAAGCTCTAATGCACGCTTTTTTAAAATTTTTTTTCCCCCCTGTTTCTTTTGGTATTCAAAATCTTACTATAGACTTGTCTATTGTGGACTGTGAATTTACAGCTACTAGCAAGGGAAAATGTGATAAGCTTTACACTTGTGTAAATTCACAGTCCACAATAGATATGACTATAGCACTATTGCGTAAATTCACAGGGGTCTCAAAGAAGAAAGGTCACTTACCTGGAACTGCTCTTTGAGAATCTGCTCTTTATATTCACATTCCTTCCTACCTGTTAGACCTTTTGTCTGCCTGGTTTGGGATTCTGTGCTTCAGGAGATGGAAGTGAAGTAAATAACACTGAGACGTCAGCTTCTTAAATCACTAGGGAGCATTCATGCATTGCTAATGACCCAGCTTTGGTCGAATTTCCAGGATTCTGCCATAGCCCACCTACAGGTATTTAATTGTAGAGGCAACTTTTACAAGAACAACAGTTAACGGTGAATGTAGTTGTTTATTATGAACTACCATGCGGTTATGGAGCAAATCTTACTTTCCAAAATCCATTTCATATTGGTGCTGGGATTTTTTTGTTTTCCCCTTTGTCCCCTGCTTATGTCAATTGGTGCCTTCAGTTGTAAGGATTGGATTGGAAGTACTTCTGTACAAGTCTGCAAGACTGGGAAAGAAAATACTTCTTTCAAGGACTAGCATTAAGTTGACTTACTAGCCTTGGCATTGTAATAATAGGCAATTCTCTCCTCTCAGAATGGGTAATGTCCCTAACATAAAAACAAAGTCAGTTTAAGTACAGCTCAGTATTTCTGCTCATCAAAAGTAGATTTCCTGAAACTGATCCTTATAACAGAATCCACTGAATTTCTAGTTGGGCAGGTTGCTTAACTTGAACAATAAAGGACGATAGACTGTTTCTGCATACTCTAGGTATCATCCTCTGGAATGGCTGCTTTGTATTGCCAGCTCAGAGATGAGTACCTCGCAGTGCAAAAGGGATCTACTGTGGCCTGGATAGATATCTAATCACTTCTTCACCCTGGTACCTGCATAGCAGGAACAAGGGGTATAGCCTGGCTGTGCCTCTTGGGATGTCAATCTTCAGCCATATTTTTTTGGCTTCTTAAAGTTGTTTCCAGCCATGGTAGGGTGCTTCTATTTGGTACAAAGGAACTGACCCTGTACAGAGCTGGTACTAGGATGAAGGGAGTGCAGTTATGAGTTTCCAGTTTACTTAACGTTCCATTACAAGTGCAGTTTCCCCAACAATTTCTACTCTCTACATTAGTTGCATCATAAGATTTGGTTTAGAGTACTGTTTCACCAGCTAAGCTATTATAGTTGAGAATCCATATTCAGTCTCTTTGTAGAGCCATCTTATTCTAAACACCCTGGATAAGGTACAGATACTAGATTAACATATTAGGTCACTGAACCCAAATTTTCTGGTTGTAACTGCTGGTGAAGAATCTAGTGTAATTATCCAACTTATTTTTTAATAACAATATAAACAGTATGCAGAAATATGATCTATTAAAATATGCTTTGTGCACTGGGCAAGTGGGAATACACAGTATTTAATGCATAGTTTTGGGGGGAAATGATGATTGGGGATGTTGATTTGAATCAAACTGACATTTGTAATCTGTAAATCCCCTTGCTTGGACTACAGGATGATGAAAGCAATAACTCGTCTTCACAAGGCATTGATGTTTTTAGAGTACTTTACAAGCAATTCGTGGACCTGGAGCACTGACAATATGACTATGCTAATGAACCAGCTAAGCCCTGAAGACAAAAAGGCAAGTAATGTTTGTATAACATGAGTTTGAGGACTTTGTTTGAAGAGTCCATGAGAATCTAATGGAATAGCCCATCTTAAATGAACTCCTATTGGAAAGTGTTTTTAAAGGTAATGCCATTCGGTCATCCAAAGGGGCAGCGGGTTGAATCAAATGAACAAAAAGGTGTGCAGCGTATCAGAACTATCATGGTTTTGTCTCTACTACAAGTAAGACGATAGTGTTTTTACAGACTGCTGTAGGTATGGAAGGCTATAGTAGAAAAGTTTGTTTTGTTTTTTTAATAATGATCCATTTAGGAAATACTGTAACTCTTCCATGCCCTTTAGCCTAGCAATTTGCATGGTCTCAAGCTTTTTTAAAAATGTTTTCAGGAAATTGATCTGTAGGCAAAGCTTAAAACATTGTAATTCTGCTAATAGAGGCTTAATAAAGTTTGGACTAGGCAGACCACGCAAACAAAATACATAAATGTGAAACTAAGAACTGTGTCCCTACATATTCTGTCCACAGGAAAACTCTACTCCTTTTTGTTTAATCTTTTAACTTGGGGGGAGTGGGGGAGGGTGAAGAACATGTCATGCTGGCCAATAGAATATTGAGAGGATGAATGAAACCAAACTAAAGTGGGCACAGACTTGTGGAAGTACTTTCATTGATAAATATTTGTTCTGGCCTGGAGGTTCTAGCTGTTGTACTTCTAGTTCAGGGTGGCTGGGTGGGGAATGGTGAACTTTCTGTTCTGTCCCTTTGGTTGTGGGGTGTGTGCTTGTGCATGCAACAATAGATGAATATTGAGATGCAGAATGTAAGGCCCCCTTCAGACATTAAATGTCATAAACTTCATCACAGATCCCCAAAATGGCATGTTCTGTGATGCTTTTGTGGTACATTAGGATATACAACTTTGGAGATCTATTATTAACACTTGTGATGGTGTCTGCCATGGCATGCAGCTGGCTGCATCTGCTCCCTCAGGTGGGGAGAGCAGTGGATCAGTGACCTTTCATTATAGAATAACTTGCCTGAAAGTAAACTGTGGGATACTTGCCTTTTTAATCTTCAAGAAACAGTGTATGGAGAGGGCCTAAATTAAGTAAACCTGTTGGAAGAGAAACCAATAGCAAGTACAGAACTTGGAAACAGTCGCACTATACATACATTATAATATTATTGCATATAAAATCCTGAAGAATATAGCGTTAATATTTTAAAAGTTAAATGTAACCCAGAACTATTAAGAAACAAACCAATCAAATCTTGGTTCTGGAATTCAGTCTCCAAAATCCTAACTTAAGAACTTGCATGTTACACTTCATTGATCAAACACAGCAGCCAGTTGATGTTCATGTTCTTTAAACTTTAATTCCAGGTAGTCTTCCTAAAATATGAACTTCTGCTGCTTTCCTGTTCTGACATTTCAAGGCTATGCAGTTCTGCTGCTTTCCTGTTCTGACATTTCAAGGAAATGGTGTGTTCTTTAGACTATTGTAGTGCCTCCCAAATAGCTTCTGCTATCAAGATGATTCTTAGAAGAAGATGTGCATAAAGAAATCTCATAGCTTGAAATAATTGTTAAATAGTCCAAGCTTGATCTTAATTTTTCTGCTTTAACAGCTTAATTTCTGTGAACTTCCAGTCAATATTGGTGTGAAAGGCTTGATTTCTACATGGTTTGTTTGCATATGCATGCATTTATATGGGTATCATGACATGTATATTAAATGTTAACTTGCTTGGAATGCTGAGCTGTTGGTATCAACTCCTGGGTAAGGGGTACTACGTCCTGTTGCAACTTATTTTTCCCAAATATTTTTTCCAGTGTTCCCTAATGAGCTTGTTTCACATTTGTTTATGCTGTCAACTTGCAAAATAAGCAGCTTAAGAGTCAGCCTACCTTGTTCCAGTTTACAAAGCTGTTTGGCCTTTGACCTTCTTAGGACCTTTAGCTCTTTTTTTTTTTTGTTTTTAATCTGAAATGTGGTATGGGTAAGACTAGGAAAATTGTAATGATCTGTAGGACTTGTCCTGCTTTCCAATGAAAATTTTCTTTTGAGATAAAAGAATCTAGCTATGATGCTAAAAAATGAAGTTCCACTTTTAAAAAAAAATACATATGGAATTTCTTTACCATGAGATAATATACATGGAACGTGGGATTATCTGGATTCAGAGTACACTAAACTGTACCATATTTAGAATTGCATAAGGTAAAATGCTGAAGAGCTATGTGGATTAATTTTCATTATTAACAAGCAACATGACTCATATAAAAGCCCTCAATGTGAAAATAGACTAGAATAAATGCCTAATCATTTAAGTGCCTTGCAGACACTACTGAAGATAAGAAAACATTATTTCTAAAGTAGGGTAATTTACAGATAAAAGATGAACTATTGGGTGATCAGATAACTTGGCAAAGATTACATGTGTACAGACTAAATAGAATCTAGGTCTTTGGATTCCTTTTGTGGCTAAAGTGCCCAGTATAATTATTTAATTTGTTCTCTGATGCATCTGGTATAGTGACACCCAGTCCATGTCATGTCCTTTCTTGAATTATGAGATAAGAAAAATCTACATTAAAGTTCTTGGGAGAGGGGAAGCTAATGGCTAAACTTCCCCCCCTTTTCTTTTTAAACAGACATTTAATTTTGATGTTCGACAGCTACATTGGGCAGAGTACATGGAGAACTACTGTATGGGAACTAAAAAATATGTACTGAATGAGGAAATGTCTGGTCTCCCTGCAGCTAGGAAACACTTGAATAAGTAAGTTCTTAATATATACCTCCTATAAGTATTTCATGTCTTTCTATCTTTGCGTGTCTCAAACTGTTGTTAGAGTAATGGGTATCACGGTTAGACCTTTCACTTTCAGAAAACAGTAGCATTCAAGAGTGCTCTCTTGTATGCCCCCGCTTTGAAGGATAATAGTACTTATTGACTAATCTTTCTGTTGTAGCTCCCTACTCCAATGCAGTATGTCTTGCAACTACAGAAACTGTCTTGTTTGGCATAAGGAATGCTTCAGTTTCTGAGTCGGCTATGTGCCAGAAGAATTTTAATGCTTTTACTCTGGTGTACAGATGTTAGCAGAATTTTAGTGCACCTTGGGATGTTTTTGGTACGATTTCAGTGGATCTCACAGTGCTTTTAAGGTGTACACATTGCTATAAATTAAAGCAGTAATCTGTAGTAAAAAACACAGGGGTATGGGGCAATGTAATCTACAGAATGAAATAGTTCTATTATGGCTGTTGCTTGGGTGTATTTTGATTTGGAATTCATGTCTATAACTGAATTGTACTAGTTATGCTTATTTCAGATTTCTGCTCTGCCAAAAATTCCTTCTACCTAATTTGGTGCCGCTACCTTCAATCCCCACCCAAAAAGATGACCCATTTTGGGAATGCATCATTAAGCTTTTTTTTTAATGCCTTAATCTGCTTAAGTGTTTGTTTGCTTTCCTTTTAAAAAGGAGTGAATCTGAAGTTGAAGTGCACTTCTTGATTTTACTAGAGGTACACGCATGCATTGGTCCATATTGTATTGGTACCGATCAAAGGAAAATTGAGTTAGTCTGCAGTCGGCTTTTTTTGGCTAATGTGGCTGACTTAATGTCGCCATGTTTGTTTGCACTTTTTTGGGGTTTTTTTAAGTGCTGCATGCACGTGGCCAGGAGTGCAGCCCGGCAGCTTGGAAAGTAGTGTCTGGCTGGTAAGCCTGTGGGAGGCGGAGGGCCATGAATGGGAGCAGCTCTAGGCCCCTGCAGGGAGGGAGGGGGCTGGGGCAGGGGCAGGTGTTGCACAGCTGGGGTGAGGTGCAGGACAGATGTGCGGGGAGGCAGTTCCTGCTGCTGTGTGCACTCCCAGGGAGGCATGGGGAGTACATGTCTCCATCTGAGGGCAGGCTGTTGCTATGCGCTTGGGGCCAGAGGCTGTGCCGGGCTTTTCCTGATGAAGGGTGGCTAGGCCCAGGCTATGCTCAGGGCAGGTGGTAGTGCAGGAAGGGGGACTACAACTAATTTTGGGGTGGCTGTGGGCCCCTGTAACTCCCCACTTCCAGCACTGCAGCCTGCCCTCCCCCCATGCATAGATGTGGGGGAGCACATGCCCCCCATGCCTCTCCTGGGGTGCACAGTGGCAGAAGTGCCCTTCCCTGCACTCCCCACATGAGCCACAGCTCATTGCCCTGCCCT